ACTTTCACAATGCAAGAAAATAAACAGGCTAAATACTCTTATCACTCATGATTTCTTGAGGAAGTTCAGAGCAAAGGTGATGAATCAGTCTGCGTCCAGTCAGTACAAAGAAACCACATAATAATTTGAATAAGGAAAGTCAAATATAAAGAATTATTATTATTATTATTATTATTATTTTTGAGACAGGGTCTCACTCTGTTGCCCAGGCTGGAATGCAATGGTGTAATCATGGCCAGCAGCAGCCTCGACCCCCTGGGTTCAACAATCCTCCCATACCAGCCTCCTTATTAGGTGGGACTACAGGCAAGCACACACTACCACTCCCATATAATTTCGTATTTTTTGTAGAACAGGGGTTTTGCTATGTTGCCCAGGCTTGTCTCAAACTCCTAGCCTCAAGTAATCCTCCGGAGTCCTACGGCCTCCCACAATGCTGGGATTACAGGCAAAAGCCACCATGCTCAGTCAGGAACTATTCACTGTAAGAGGACTAGAGTAACAAGGTGTTGGCTAGCCAGAAGTAAAGAGAATTCTACAGAACATAGGAATAGCAGATATAAAGAGAAGCCACTGCCCTTAGGGCTGAGGTGGGTCCCCTAAGGAAAAATACCTACTTCTTCCCAGGAATGAGATCAAGAACTCTTGGAGGGAGCACAGCCATGGATCACTGAATAGGAAAGATGTCTCTGTGGGTGCTGCACCAGTACAACTTGCTGGAAAACCACTTTTGGTAACTTATCAGAAACCCATCCTCCAGGGAGCCAGGAAAACGTGTTCACTGGGAGGTGTCCCACCAGGGGCTCAGTTACAAAATCGCCTGGGGGGGATGCTGAGGTACACTGTTGACTACTGGGTACGGCCGATCACAGCGAACTAGAAGAGCCTGCGCTAGGGAAGACGCACACCACGGAAGCCGGCGCTGCAGAAGCACACACGCCAAGGGCCCGGCTCTGGACATGCGCACACGCCTGGTAACAGGTGGTGGGGCGGCGCCCAAACCCGGGAGCCCGCGCTGGGGAAGCGGCACACCCAGGGAGCCGGCGCTGGCAAGGCACACCCACCGGGAGTGGGCGCTAGAAAAGCCGCACACACCAAGGGCGCTCCGCACTGGAGAAGCGTCACGTGTGTGCACGGCAGCCAGTGCGGAAGAAAGTGTGCGTGGGAACTGGCGATGGCGAGGGCGCGCGCACATGTGCACAAGCTCGCTCTGGAGGAGTCACGGGCACGCGCGTGCACGACAACCTGCACCGAAGAAGGCGCACGCATGCGCACACTGGAGAAACTGGACTTGTAATTTTAAATTTCCCTGTAAAGAAAAACCAGAACTGATAACTTTCTGAGTGAATTCTATCAAATGTTTAAAGAAAAAAAGCAAAACCAATCCTTCACAAACTCTAAAAAAATACGAGGGAACACTTCCCATCTGATTCTAGGATGCCAGTATGACAATACCAAAGCCAAAGACATAACGGGTCTAAATATTACTAATATTACTCATGAATATAGTACAAAAATTCTAAACAAAATATTACTAAACCAAATCCAGAAATACGTAAAAAGGATTATATAACATGACCAAATGGAATTTATAATGCAATGTTAGGATAAATACACGAATCAGTTAATCAATCATATTGATAAAATAAAGGAACAAAAAACACAGTCATCTCAATAGATGCAGAAAAACAAGATTTCTAACATTTGTTCATAAGAATTCTCAACAATCTAGTAACAGAAGGAAAATCTCTCAACCTGATAAAGTACATTTATGAAAAACTTAGAGCTAACGTCATATCTAATGGTAAAAGATTAAATGTTTTTCCCCTAAGATGAGAACTAAGTCAATAATGTACTCTCCATGTCTATTCAGCAAAGTGCTGGAGGTTCGAACAAGGCAAAAAAGAAATTAATCAGGCAAAAAAGAAATTAAAGGCATCCACATGGAAAGGAAGAACTAAAACTATCTTTATTGGCATGATGCCATATGTAGAAAATCCTGTGTAATTCACAAAAAAACTGGAAGTAGTCATCAAGTTCAACGAGGAAGCTTTCAAGATAACATGTGTATGTTTATATACTGACAACAATCCGTAATGAAATTTTAAAAATAATTCAGCTGCTCTGCCTATGGAGTAGACTTTGCTTTCTTAATAAACTTGCTTTCACTTTACGGATAAATAAAAAATATAATAAAATTTTAAAAATTATTCAATTCACAACACTATCAAAAATAAAACACTTCCAAATTAATTTACTAAAGGGCAAAATTTGTACATTGAAAATTACTAAATATTGCTGAGAGAAACTAAAGATCTCAACGGGAAATGGAAAGAGTCCATGTTCATGGTGGGATGGCAATTCTCCCCCAAACGGATATGCAAATTAAATGCAATTACTACAAAATATATCACAGCCGGATTTTTTGAAAACATGACAAACCGATACTAAATTATGGAAATGTAAGTAATCCTGAACAACCAAACCAATTTTGAAAATGAAGAAAAACATTGGATAACTTACACTACCTGATTTCAAAATTTACCATAAAGCTGTCATAATCAAGGTAGTGTGATGCTGATACAGAAGGCATACAGGCCTCTTACCTTCAGTCCCGTATTAAACTTGAATTAGAAAACCTCGATCTCAAAATGCACGTAAAACCATCATTGCCTGCTGTCCCCCAGTCCAACTCTGGTGGCCAATCTGAATTGTTATCAATTTTTTTTTTTTTTTAGTCAGGGTCTCAGTCTGTTGCCCAGGGTGGAGTGCTGTGGCAGGATCACAGTTCACTGTGGCCTCGACCTCCTGAACTCAGGTAATTCTCCAGCTCAGCCTCCTGAGTAGCTGGGACCACAGGCTGGGCCACTATTCCCCGCTAATTTTTTAAATTTTTGTAGAGACAGGGAGCTCTCTGTTGCCCAAGCTGAACTCAAACTCCTGGGATCAGGTTCCCAAAGCTACCTCAGCTTCCCAAAGTCCTGGGATTACAGGCACGAGCCACCATGCTCTGCCTGTTATCTGAATTGTCTTTCCTTCTCCCCTTCTGCGTTTTTATTAAAACACTGCAAAAATTCAATGTACTTCTCCTGTCTGTATTCTTTCACACTGAGTCAATCACTGAAGATTCATAAACAAGACAGAGAATACACATCTCCCAACCTAAAATAAAGCTTTTAAAAATCACTTGGTGCTCATTTCCTGCCTGATTTGAGGCCCTACCACTACCAACTTAGAACTACCACTTATGTGAGTTTCCTGTGGCTCTCTAGAAGGCCCAGATAATCAATTCAACTTTCTACTGGCCAGGCTGGCCTCTCTGTAGCTGGTTTTCATAAACACTAAATTTGTATAATTGTTTTTGGAACTACTTGCTGAAATATGGAACTGGTTAAAAGTACCATTTATTTTAAAATGTACATGCACAGTTTCAGATACATGCGGCAACACATCTTCGACATCCACCCAATCAATCAAGTTAATGCTTCTTACTAGCAGACAGAACAAAAAATACCAATATAGAGCCTGTTTTTTTTTTTTTTTTTCGGGGGCCTTGATAAATGTTTTTCAAGAAATCAAGAGAAATATGACCGAATAAAACAAAAGTAAATTCGAATGTGTAATATAAAGTATAATTAGTCCATTCTCAAGAAACATATTTTACTGGGGGCAGTAGGGAGGTGAAAAAGACCTCTAATATATCTAGGAAAAGAAATCCTTTTTTGATGCCGCCTTTCTTGTATATGAATAATGTACATGGGTGCTTATTTCCATCTGACTCTGGTACAGCACATTACACTGAAACATCAATTTAAGTTTAATGTATAAAGTCGCAATGAACATGTTTTCCATCTAAGCTTATGTAATGAATGATCTCAACACATGGTATGAATTCTATCGTTTGTAACAACCCTGGAGGGGAGTCAGGAGAAAACGATCTGTCTGAGGGCCTATCTCTGACAGTGAGTGACAGCCACAAAGAGCTGAAGTTGGGTGGCCCAAAAGGGCTCCGCTCGTTTGATAAATGCTAAGTCAAATCACATCACAGTTGAGATGCATTAAATAGGGCACAGGTTAGAACAAAACCAGGTGCCCGGGAGTTTTTCAAGTTTCAGATTGGAACAAAAGCCCAGGCACATACAGGTCTTCGCTAGAAAACTCCTTGGCCTCTTTCCTGAAGATTCTGGTACCCGATTTTCCAGATTACAAAACTCCAAGTATTCGCCCCCATTCGGTGTGCTGGACACCTGAGATCACAGAGGGGTTCACAGTTGCAAACGCACACACCTAAAAATTTAAACAGGGAAACAAATAGCACCCGAAAACCCTCTCACGGGCTCTGAAGACGTGGCCTGGCGTCCACATAAAGAGGAGAGGGGGGACCCCGGCTGCTGCGAACCCGCTTCCCGCCAGGGACGAGAGGCGGCGGGCGGGAGGGGTCAGAGCCGCGCCCCTCCCGGCGCCCCGGCGGCTCGGGCTTGGGGGCGGGTGCGAGGGGCGAGGAGCACGAGGCCGACGGCGGAGGGCCACGGGCTCAAAGGGCCGCGCTTCTCACGGGTCCCAGGCGGAGACGTGCACCTTTGCTCCTCCTCTGAAAAACACACAGCCGCCTGCGCTCAACCCGCGGAAAGAACCAGAACGCCAGCTCCCGGCGGCCGCCGCTCGGGGGAATCCGCTCCGCGCGTCCCCCGCGCCGGCCCCGCCCCGCCCACGGCCCCGCCCACGGCCCCGCCCACGGCCCCGCCCCGCCCGCCCGCCGCCCGCCGCCTCCCGCCTCCCCGCCTCGCGCCTCCCGCTTCCCGCCTCCCGCCTCAGCCTCGGCCTCGGCCCAGCGCCGGCGGGAACCCAGCTCGCCCGCCGCGAGGCGCGCCGCGCCCACCCGCTCTCGCGAGCCTTCCCTCTGGCCCCTCGCCGCCTCCTCCCGCTCCCGCCGCTGACGTCTCGGCCAGACCCCCGAGGGAGGCCTCCGCCCTCCCTGCGTGCTGCGGCCGGCCGCTCACCGGGTGGTCCTCGCCGGAGCTGCTTCAGCAGTTTGGGCAGTGGCGGAGAGGAAGCCACCGCCCGGGATCTGTGGCTTGAAAGTCTGGCCCTGCCTCGTAGTGGCTTTTTGTTGGGAGTTTTTTGGAATTTTCCCGCGGTCGCTGGGCCGCGGAGCGCGCGCCCACGTGGCCGCAGTGCATTCTGGGGCTCGGCGAGCGGCCCCGCGCGCTCCCGCGGCGTCGCGGGAAAATTCCGACGAATCTCCGGTCCGTGGGGGCGGGGCGGGCGCGGCCCGGGCTCCGGCGGAAGCGGGCGCGGCGGGGGCGGGCTGTGGGGTTCCCGGGCTCGCGCGGAAGCCCCGGGCAGCGGCGCTGGCTCGTTCCGGGCCCTCGTTGCCTATTCGTTTAAATATTCGGTTCAAAACGTGCAGGAGGTAAAACGGAAATTAGTTCTTTTAGAGAAACGTTAGACCTTTGTCACCGGGGTAAAACCTCTCAAATAAGATTTCCTAGCCGGGCGCGGTGGCTCGCACCTGTCATCCAAGCGCTTTGGAGGCCAAGGCGGGCGGATCACCTGAGGTCGGGAGTTCAAGACCAGCCTGACCGACATGCTGAAACCCCGTCTTAATAAACAAACAAAAAAAAGATTTTCTAGCTGCGTTGTCAACAATAACAGCAAAAATCGCGTCTTGGTTAATGATTCTCCCGGCCGCAAATCAGTTCCATATAGTGTTTGGTCGGGGTTCAAATCAGTTCAACCCCGTACTTAAACCACCCCAATATTAATAGAATTTCCTCCAAACTCCCATTCATGACAATGGCATTAGCTTGTCTTTGTGAATTTTTGTTTTCTTCTAGAATCTGACGAATTAAACTTGAAAATGTCTTAAATCAATGCCTCATAACCATAAATGATAATCATAAAACCACAACTTTGGGCTTGGTGGCTGACGCCTGTAATCCCAGCACTTTGGGAGGCCGAAGCGGGCAGATCACGAGGTCGATCAAGACCATCCTGACCAACATGGTGAAACCCCGTTTCTACTAAAAATACAAAAAATTAGTTGAGCGTGGTGGTCCGGGCCTGTAATCCCAGCTACTCAGAAGGTGGGGCAGGAGAATTGTATGAACCAGGGAGTCGGAGGTTGCAGTGAGCCGAGATTGCACCGCTGCACTCTATCCTGACGACAGACATCGAGACTTGAGTCTGCTGGGTTGCAACAGAAACTCTGTCTCTGCACACGCACGCACACACACACACACACACACACACAAACTTAGCATATGCATTCAAAAACACACTACAGGCCTGGCAAAGTGGCTCACACCTCTAATCCCAGCACTTTGGAGGCCGAGAGAGGTGGATCAGCTGAGGTCAGGAGTCTGAGATCAGCCTTGCCAAGATAACAAAACCCCGTCTCTACTAAAAATACAAAAATTAGTGTGTAATCCCAGCTACTTCGGAGACTGAGGCAGCAGACGCCCTTGAACCCACGAGGCAGAGATTGCAGTGAGCCAAGATCGTGCCACTGCACTCCAGCCTGGGCAACAGAGCATGACTCTGTCTCAAAAAACAAACAAAAAAACACCACAAAGCTGTGTGTGCTTGTAATAAAAATAGCTCTCAATTATTTAAACACCTCCAACTATTTCTATGGTGAAGAAATACCCATTTTACCAATTAATACTTTGAATTCAAAGACTAATTTCCAGAGGTTATACATTTATAAGTTATGCAATAAGCAGGCAGAATAGCAGTAGCGGTAGTTTGAAAAAGAAACTGATCCAGAGTTAAGCTGCAACTACATTAAGGAATCCCGTGTTTAAATCCATTCTTGAAACTATTCCCCGCCACTTAAGGAAGTCAGTGCTCTTTGATTGTTTTTTGATTTTAGATTCAGGGGGTACATGTACTTATTTGTTACATAGGTATACTGTGTGATGGTGGGGATTGGGCTTGTAGTGTATCCATCACCCAAATATTGAACATTGTATGCAATAGATGAGTTTTCAGGCCTCGCCCGCCTCCCACCCTCTCCCCTTTTGGAGTCCGCAGTGCCTGTTATTCCCATTCTTATGTGCATGTATACCTATTATTTAACTCCCACTTATAAGTGAGAGCATGCAATATTTTATTTTCTGTTTCTGAGTTTGCATAATGTTAGAATAATGGCCTCCAGCTCCATCCATGTTTCTGCAGAGGACATGATTTCATTCTTTTTTACAGCGGAGAGGTCGATGCATTTTTGACGTGTGTATAGTGTGATGCGGATGGATCAAAAGCAAGTCCTGGGTAGGGAGATACATGCTTGAGGAGCACTCATCATGACACCATGACCATGAGAAAGTCACCTCTGTAGTAACAAGTCAAGAATGAGTTTAAGTTCTGCATTTACCAGCAAAGAAAGTACATTACATTACATATTTGTTGAAAAATCATTTTTAGTGTTTGTTAATGATGGACATCTTGCCATATCCCAGTTTTCTGTCTTTTTTCAAAGTTCAGTGGTTAATAAAGAATGGCTAGGCTTAGGCCAAGCATGGTGCCTCATGCTTGTAATCCCAGCACTTTGGGAGGCTGAGGCAGGCGGATCACGAGGTCAGGATTTCAAGACCAGCCTGGCCAACATAGTGAAACCCCATCTCTATTAAAAATACAAAAATTAGCCAGGTGTGGCGGTGCGTGCCTGTAAACCCAGCTACTCAGAAGGCTGAGGCAGGAGAATTGCTTAAACCCGTGAGATGGAGGTTGCAGTGAGCCAAGATCACGCCACTGCACTCCAGCCTTGGCGACAGAGGTAAACTCCATCTTAAAAAAAAAAAAAAAAAAAGAAGAATTGCTAGGCTTATCTAACTTTGCAGTATATGAAATGACAACATGTTTAGGCCTAATTTAGATGTAGGTGGGAAGCATACATAGCATAAGGATACAAACTTAAATTTATAAGGATTCATTTACCTGGCATTCATATGCATGGAACTATCTTATTAATATTTTAAGCAATAATGAGATGTTCACTTTGTAAAATGTCAAAAAAGTTTCCAGAATTTTCTCTGGGGTATGTAGAAGAAAAAAAAAGTTTCCAGAGAAAGAGATATTTCAATACAAACCCTATTTTTAATTAAATAATTAAATTGATTGTGAGTGATCTGATTTTTGTTTGTATGTGTGTGGTTTTGATTTGTTTTTTTTTTGAGACTGGGTCTCACTCTCACCCAGGCTGAAGTGCAGTGGTGCAAACACAGCTCTCTGCAGCCTTGACCTTCTGGACTCAAGCAATCCAATTGCCTCAGTGGCACCAAAGACCTGGAATTACAGGAGTAGGCCACTGGGCCCAGCTATGTGTTACTCTAGAGGAACACAGTTTTGGTTGTAGTATAAAACCCAATCACAGATAATGTGGCAAAAATTTAAAATGTCATATTTAGGTGAAAATTATTACATTGTTTACATTAAATCAGAGTCTTGTTTTGTTGCCCAGGCTGGTAGCACGATCTCAGCTTAGCTAACTGCAACCTCCGCCTCCCCAGTTCAAGCAAGTCTCATGCTTCAATCTCCCAAGTAGCTGGGGTTACAGGCACATGCCATTATGCCCTTAACACTCTCTTGTCTATGGCTTTGATATTTGCCTCTTGTACCTCAGTCGTAAATAATGTGTGTTGAAGTTCCAGGCACTCGGCTAACTCCTCAGCCTGGGTTATTTCCTTTGATTCTCACAGTGATCTTATGTAAACCCACCATGGTAATAGTCTACTTTCACAAATACTGAAACTCATGAACAGAGCCATCTCTTCTAGTGGAGGGTGGAACCTGGCTTCAACTCCACTTACAGTGGCTTCTTATTTACTGTGTTCTTCCTCCTGTCCCAGGCTGGTGATGTGAACATAAGGGATAGGATGAAGTTATCCTAGAGGCTTCTACACTCTGATCACCATTACTTTCCCATTGAAGCATCCCAGCCTTGGACATGTAAGTTGAATTAGAGAAAGAGAGCAATAATAAAAATAATTTTTGTGCCACAAACACTTCAAGAAACGGAGCAAATAACAGCGAAGGTCTTTGATCTGCCACCTTGAGGAAGAAAAGCACCTGAAGCCAAGGAAGGATGGCTGCAAGAGATGGAAATTCATGGAAAAAGGGAAATGTATTATGAATGCTGCATGGAATCTGCCCCTTTACCCCACCCACCTCATGTTCACTCCGTAGGCTCTGCTGAAAGAATGCACCCAGGAGGACATGTTTGTTCCAAAGCCTCCATTACTTGCCACAGCTAATTGAACCAGGGATGGTAGCCTGATCCTAGCTCAACCGATCAAACTATTGCTGGAGAATTTGGAATTACAACACTGAGAGACTGTAAAACCTCTATACAACAGGAGCTAAAGCCCCCATGCCAGTCAGAGTTACTGAGGGAAGAAAAAAATATCAGTAGCAAAGAAAGTTGGTTGGCAGAGAAAAGCAAAATGAAGTTGAAAGGCTATTATTTATTCTTTGAGAGACAGGGGAGCTTCCATTCCTTATTTTTATTTATTTTTATTTTAAATGGAGTTTCACCCTGATGGCCAGGCTGGTCTTGAACTCCTGACCTCAGGTGATCCACCCAGCTTGGCCTCCCAAAGTGCTAGGATTACAGGTGTGAGCCATCGAGCCCAGCCCCATTCCTTATGTTTAAGCCCAATTTCAAGGTAAACTGACTGTATTTTTTTTCCTGTTCTTGGTTGTCCATGAGATTCCCCCATATCCTTGCAACAATCATCCGTTTAACTATGCTGACTTCAGTGAGTTTCTCTCCCTCGCTGCAAAGCAAGCCCTGACTAACAACCTGGAGGTGGCAGCTCTTCATTGTGTCACTGGGCATTAACACTTTGGCTAGGCCTCCTTGATAAATTAATCAATAGATACCTAATGAGAGATTACTATAGGGAAGGAAAAATAGCTTTTCTGAACCCATCCTAGGTTGACAGCTGAGGCCTCCATAAAAAAAGACAGATTAACCAGAGAAAGGCATGTACGTTGCATGTAAATTTCACATGCCATGGGAACCTTCCTAAGGAAAGGAAGATCCAGAGCAGCTGTTAAACTTGCCTGTTTCTATGCTGGGTTTCATGAAGAGTAGACAGTTGTGGGAAGATACAGTTGAACAAAGATGAGAATAAACTGGGGGGAGTTTAGCAAGGCTTATTTGTT